CCTTGCTTTGCCGATTCTTGCTTTTACGTCTACATCAGTTCCTGCTTGTTTATCGATGATGGTGTCCAGGTACGCGAAAGCTTCCACCTCTTTCAGAGCTTCTCTATCAAATGTGATTATGTTGGTTGTGTTTGAGGATCTTTCATTTTCTCTTGTAGATGTTGAGGCCTACTGTTGCATAAGCTGTTGCTACACTGGTTGTCCAGATTCGCATTTGTTGCTGTGTATGGTATGGAAGAGCTGGGTCATCTGCGAACTCCAGATCATTATGGCAGATCACGTGCGATTGATTTTGTTCACATTTGACTTGATTAAGCCTTTTTGTTATCTTATTTAGCAGACAGAGTCATACGTACAATAACAACTTAATTATATCATTGTACCTTTATCATTGTTGCGCTCATATGAATATGTGTGCTTGTGCATCGCTTGCTTCCTATGCACATATTAATTCTGCTAGCTTTAATGTTAGTCGCTTAATTGATTCGATGATTCACTCATTTCCCTATGTAAATATATATACATTTTGATCCTATCCATTTTGACTCACGAACTTGCACGCTCACATGCTTGCTTTACGGCATTAACCTTTCATTCTTATTTCACGAATCTGTGGTTCCGGTGAATTGTGTGTCGTGCAAAAATAAACGCGATCAACACTTCGTACCCATCTTCTAATAATTACATCATTATGACATTATCTACAAACGTTTATCAGGACGAACTGTTTACGGAGTTTAAGGAGTTTATCGAAGGGGAAGTTTAGTCCTAGCGTGATTTGCATTTATCAAACATTTGCTGTGTTCTTACGCAACAAAAGTAGCATTTCTGACCTCAAGAATTTGTTCTGAGCTATACGTTTGCTAGATTAATTTTTTACTTTTACCCAACTTAATAGTTAACTGTGGTTTTGCCTCACCTTACTATTCGATTTTTTTCATTTTTTATGTAAAGGCTAAATTGAGTTAATTGTAACTCGTTTTTATCCATTTTTCCCGTTTTTACTGTACTGGTTTTTACCGTCTTAGGCTTTTGCTAGCACCTATAAAACATTTTACGTCAGTGTAGTCATGAAAAATTCACGCAAACAACCTGAGTGCCGTTTTGCCGTCACATCTGGCAAGCAGTGAGGCAAACGCGAAGGTTGATTCCATAAGGCGTGCACAGATCTCATAGCAAACGCTCACAACAGTCTCAGTAAGTCGGATCATAGGTGTTTATGCATCATGTGCAACGCGGATGCTTAAGTCTTGCTGAGTAACGTCATTGTCCTATTGATAGGTCTGCGGAATAATAATAATAATTTATTCTCAAATAGCAGTTTGTTACATGAGGCATGCCAGTTTACAGGCAAGATCAAATTGTTATAAAAGATACAATATACACTCTAGTAAGATTACTCAGTCTAATTTTCTTTTATTACGGTATTTGTTAAGCAAGAGCATTTTAATAGGTTAAAGAAAATAAGTGTAAACAAGGTGTGGTTGGACATACAACTGACAAATGGAGGCGATTCAGAAGTGAGCTGGGTGTATGGGATTATGTGTGGTTATAAAATTTAGTGCTAAAAACAGTATTGTGATATACAAGCCACCTACAATAATCAAGAACCGTACCCTTCTCCTGCTAAGCCGCAAAAAGCACTGTTGGGCGGAGTACAAACGAACTGACAACGACGGAGCGTACAGGCAATATAAAAATATCAGGAACATATGCACGAAGGCTATAAGAGAAGATAAGCTTCAGTACCAGACAAAGCTTATGAACAAATTTTCCTCCAATCCTAAAAGCTTATTCCGTTATGCAGTCTCTCTTCGTGAAGCCAAAACTGGAGTTTCCCAACTGGTAGGTCTTAACGGCCCGACCAACAACGATGGCGGCGCCGCTAACCTTCAGGCTGGATATTACTCCCAGACATTTCAACCAACTGACATTAACTTTACTGATGACAGTCTCGTTTGCAATTCCACAGAACTTTCCGAAGTGAACCTATGCGCTGACTTGGTGTTGCGGAAACTGCAGCACTTAAGATTAGACACTTCTCCTGGCCCGGACATCGTCCATTCCGCCATACTGAGGGAAGCAGCCTCAATTTTGGCAACGCAGCTTAGCGTGATGTTCTCACACTCGCTAAGTCGAGGAAAACTACCGGAAAATCGGAGGCTGGCTCACATCACATCAATTTTCAAAAGGGGGTCGACCCAGCGAACCTTCAAGTAACCGACCGGTGGTTCTTCTCTCCATACTCTCAAAAATCATAGAGTCCTTGATATGCGATGGTATAAATGACTATTTACTGTCCTTAAATTTCTTCTCACCCCAACAGCATGGTTTCAGGAAGGGTTACACTTGTATTATCAACCTGCTGACTGCGGTGGGCAGATGGACAAACATCCTCAATCACAAGAGGATGGTTGACATCATCTACCTAGATTTCTCAAAAGCTCTTGATAAAGTTAACCATACATGTCTTATCAATAGGCTCAAACGATTGGGTATCAGACCACCTCTCATCGATTGGCTCACTTCATACCTGAAAATTTGACACTTTAAGGTCAGAGTTAATTTCACTTTATCTCAGGCTATGGAATGTCCTAGTGGGGTCCCCCAGGGCCCAGTACTAGGGCCTCTTCTCTTCTTGATCTACATGAATGTTCTTCCTTAACAGGTGACGTCAGACTTATTACTTTTTCCGATGGCGTGGAACTCTGGAGAGAGATACACAACCAAGACGATATACAGGCACTTCAGGAGGATCTGACTCGACTTCGAAGTTGGGCAGACGAAAACGGACTTACCTTTAACACTTCAAAGTGTAAAGTAGTCCATCTGTGACATGTCACAGACTACAGTTATAACTTAGGTAACTGCTCTCTAGTAGTATCTCAAGTTGAAAAAGATTTGGGAGTCCTGGTGCCCTACGATTTAAAGTCTTATGTTAACTGTGACAAAAATGCCTTCCAAGCAAACCTTGCACTGGTAACATTGATATGATGGAATGATATTTTGCAAATTAACGATTTACTATATGCTTTTTCTGTTTTACCAAGCAACTCTGTAATTTTGTTCTAAATACAATTCGGTTGTCCCCACCTGTGTTCTCCTTCACTGCAATATCACCAATATCTTAAGTGTAACTTATTGACAAAGTGTTAGGTTTTATGGGAATATGATCAATATATCATTCCTCCTGTTCTACACATATTCTAAGCTCTCAGCCTCAGCTTTCTGGGGCGATATACTCTGTAATGCATACGTAGTTTCACACTGATTATTTTGTAGTTGTGACACATAGGAGTGCTAACGGATATGAGTGAGTGAGCAGTTCTATTTACTAAACTTATATGCTTCACTATATGTTCAAGCACTATACTTCCGTATAATTAGATCTATCTAAGTTAATTGTACGTGAATCAAGAATATTAAATTAAACAAGCGACATAATTATCATTTCATTTGCACAGAAATGTTACTCAAAGTAGTTAAATGTATACAGTTAAGCCTATAGACCCAAAACACGAACTATAGGTTAAAAACTGATAATTTGAAAGAACCCCTGAGACACGCAAAGGCACAGTTAAATAGATTGGAGCAAGGCGTTTCGTTTCTTTTTACGAAGCGAAAATTTTTGATGTCAAATCCGAATATTTGTTTGGCTCCACTAACTAATTTCATTACTTGCCTTGAGGCAAGCAACTTAATATGACTTGAAGGCCATCGACCAAAGGGGAAGCTGAGCTGGTCCTTTATTTTTAGAGTATATTCCTAGAGTAAGTGCAAAAAAACCTCTGTTAGGGTAATATGAGGGCAACTTAAATTGAATTTCGCTAATCTGTTATTATATACCACCAAAATCATATCCCGCTACTAAACAATGTTTCTGTTCTCAGTCATAATTCCAGACATAAGTTCACTTAAACTTTCTGGAGAATAAGTTCTATTTATCCCATCTTTTCTGCGGAAAATACAGTTCATTTTGTGTTATAGGGTTCAATATGTTGACCAGTTCCTTAAGGAAGTCCCAATTGGGACTGGTCATGCTAGGTTATACTGACCAAACTATGAGTTTTAAAATGACCATGCATTTTATGCTTTTTATACACAACAGACAGCGCACTTCGGATAAACTAACAGTTTCGTTGGGTAAAAATCGTTATTTATCATGTAATTAAACTATCGTCTACAATGGGTGTCCAAATGTCTTCAAGATGTGTTTTGCGCCAGCAAATTAGTTACAAACCAGTGGTTTACTATGTAGATTCGAATATTAAAATCCGGTTGATAGGGCTTAGTTTCTAATACGTGTGTAACGTTGTGTGCTGTGTGAAGCATCCGAAACAGCCTTAGATTTGTATCATGTACCCTTGTGATTTAACTTGATATAAATAATAGATATTCATATGATTTGAATATGATTTAGTTCTGTACTTACGAAGTATTAACAAACGTTTGTTGGCCGCGGTGATGTACTCTGTTCCAAAATAAATTCTCTCCAAGAATAAATGCTTTTTGGAAGAGTAGACCCTTGAGGGAAATCATGTTAATTCATCAGGGTGGATTTTATGAAAATTTGGGTTTGCCCTCGAACTAGGGAAAAGTGTGGCCTAAAGTCCGGTTTTACCCGAATTTACACCACAAGTTTCCTACAGTATTGGCTGTTTCCGGTATATCTATTGTTAGGATGATTATCATCGAAAATCCCTGTCACTCAAAAGCTTAGATATCAAAAGTACATAATTTTTTCTTTGCCCTGACCATTTCTCCATACTAATTACCTGTGTAACAATAAGGCTAGTAAATTCTATCACTCTCGGTAGTCATACCAAATCTTGCATCAGTAGGCTGGTAATTACAGTTCTAGTTTATTATCACCCTAATGTATCATTCCTATACTCTGTTTACCTGAAAGCGTTAATTATTGTAATATTTTAATCGTTCTGTCAATTACCACCATAATCTTACATCTCTTTTAACTTATTTCCTAGCTGTCGCTTTCAATCATGGGTAGTACAAATAGTCGTATTGAAACAAATTTAAATCCAATAAAAACGTATACAGGATTTGAAAACCGTGTAAATAATCTGTTTTCTCGTTATCTAACTTCCGTATAGGATAATGAACTAGTTATTTCTAAGGAATCATTTCGAGTTCGTCCATCGTTTTCTTTATTTAAATTTTGTACTTGTGTGTAGAATAAGTTCGACCTCTGTTTCTATGATTTGGCCGATCTTTTATGGGATAATTTCAAAGGTGATCGTAATTCCAATGATGAATTCCTGGTTCTCAGAAAATATCAAAGCATAATTGAATACTTGTCTTCTGCTCAGGATAAACTGGAGATATTTCTAAGTTTGTTTAAGCTACGTGCACTAAGTGAATCAGGTAATTAGCAAATTACTTATTTTCACAAAATTTCAAGATGTTAAAGCATTATTTAAGTGGTTCTTGCTGGGAAGAGATTTGAAACCAGACACGTGGCAATTAATAATTACTTCTATCTTGTCCTCAGTAAGTCCTTTTAATTATACGAATTCTGTATTGTTATACTTTATTAGTTATTGGTCTAATCCCTTTCCTTTTGATGTGATAAGATGTTTCTCAGGTGAAACTAGTTATGTGCGCACCATTGAAGGCATCCAAGGCTTGTATAAAGCGTTCTAAATTACTCGGGTAGGAAATGGCTTGTTAACATGCAATTACAGTCTTTTTATACTAATCTTATCAGATATGATCTTTCAGATTCACTAGTGATATTGCCTCAAAACACTGCGTAATTTTTCTGACTGCATGCTATTACAATAATTAGAGTTGACGAAACTTAATTATTATCGGAAGGGGTTTTTGTGGAGATTGTAGTAATCTAATAGTTGAGTTCATGAGTTACTTAAAGCTAGACCACCATGGAAAACCTGGAAGTACTGGACGGCCGTTTCATCCTATCATGTGACTCCTCAGCAGTGCGCATCCACGATCCCGTGACCAGTGGAGTTAAACCGGGTTTGTAGTAAGATAGCAACTCACTGAAGACAATGGTGGACGGCGGCGCAATATCGTGGATTGGTTGAACTTAAACATTAACACCGTTCGATGTCGGCTCAGTGGTCTAGATGTTAAGCGCTCGCGCGCGAGACTGAAGGTCTTGGGTTCGAATTCTGCAAGCGGGATCGTGGATGCGCACTTGTGGGAAGCAATTTCTTACAGGTTTAATTCTGAGTTATTCTCTAGACCGTCGAATACAGAGTCTTGGTTTGGCCAAAGTCAGAACAAGCAAGCTATTTGGCTAGATAAACTTTATCTGTTTCTAAAACATAAAATAACATCGTTAGTGTTCAAACAAGCAGTACGGTCTATTAATACAGGGAAAAACGGAGACAAATAACGTACCGAACAGTAGCCAGAGAACAGGAAAAATGAGTCAACAAAGCAAATATTGTTTTACAATGAACATCAAACTGCGATTGGTTAATAGAGATACAGTCGTAAAAGGTCAAAGGGAGTTAATGTGGTGGTGAGCGTTTCACTTTATTATTGGTGGGTTCGTCTGTCGATCACATTTTACAGCACTGCTGAAGAGTCCCATACTAGGACGAAACGGTCGTCCAGTGCTTCCAGGTTTTCCATGGCCCGACCAAAGCTGCTACCTTGACGCGGTGGTCGGGCTTGCCTATCGTGATGACCCAACTGAGCTATATTGGCTGGAACATATGTTCCTGTAGGTTCTACCATGCCAGGCAGGTCGATTGGTGAACGGTAAGACTAAAAGCAGCAACTCAAGGTCTGAGGGCGAAGTCGTACTGCTAACTGTAGAGAGGTGTGACAGCAGTAAGGTGTTTCCTTCGGACAACCAGCATGACAGCGATGCTGCCTTCCCACAAGGAGGGGTGGGGTTAGAAAAGGTCGACCCTAAAAATGTCACACCTCACCTTACCTCACGGATTTCCGTCTCCTGCGGTAAGGCCCTTTGAAGAACGGAGCTAACACGTCAAAAACCTTCCACAGAAAGGCCGTGCGCGACCGACCTCAAGCAGTTGTCCCTTGGGCTCTGCAGTCACGCAGACCAACATTAGTCCAACTTCCCTTTTAGGTTCCTCAAGAAATACCCTTCCACGGTGTGGGCAACCGGGAAGTGACATCAGCCCTCATACCCGTAATAGCACACGAGATCAAGTTGGTCACACTCAAATCCTTCCTACACTTCCTAATACTACTCTTATCTCCCCGACTAACTCTTCTCACGTCCTTTTATCACCTCGCATTGCTAGGGCAAACGATTCAAGTACGCGGAACGCTATCCCTGGTCTACTGAAACCACGCTTTAAACTACACGTAGGAGCTTTTAACGTCCAAACACTTTGCCAAATAGGACAGCAGGCTTCCTTAGCTAGGACTTTGGAATCTCGCGCCATCGATGTGTGCTGCGTCTCCGAAACGCGCATACAGGATCCGAGTAGCGTCATTCATTTGACATCACCATGTCAAAGTGACGAACCAACTCGATTCACACTTCGTGTATCTGGAAACCCTGATGCTGCTTCACGTGGCCTCGCCGGCGTAGGTATAGCATTGAGTCCTAGGGCAGAACTAGCTCTCTTAGACTGGGTCCCAGTAGACAGTCGTTTGTGCGCTGTCCGACTGAACGGAACAGTAAGGACTCGGGAAGATAGGGACACTCGTCGTTGCCTCTTCGTCGTCTCTGCCTATTCTCCCACTGACTGCAGCTCAGATGATGTCAAAAATTAGTTTTACAGAAAGCTTTCGGACCTTCTCCGAAAAGCTAAGCGCTCGGATGTAGTAATAATGGCCGGTGACTTTAATGCTCAAGTAGGTAAACTAAGCGATAGGGAAAGACACCTAGGTGGGTCTTATGGTGTCGTGGCTCAAAGAACAGATAATGGCGACCGTCTGTTGCAGCTATGCTCGGATAACCGCCTGTTCCTTGCAAATACTAACTTTAAGCATAAGGAAAAACATCTTTTAACATGGCGACCCCCTAATTCGTCCCAACGTTGGACCCAAATAGATCACATCGCTATCAGCCACTGATGGAGGGGCTCGATAGAAGACTGTCGCTCATTCTGGAGCACATGCTTAGATTCACATCATGCTCTAGTGCGAGCGCGTATTTGCTTGCGTCTTACTGGACGTAGGAAAGACGCTGCAAAGCAACTTCTTAGGGGCCTACTTAATGATAGTCAAGCTAAGAGTATATTTCAGGAACAACTAGAAAAACAGTTAGGCAGCCATGTATGTGATGCCCACCACGAGGCAGCAAGGAACGATATCCGAAAAGCTGTGGAAACAGCAGTGATATCTGCTAGTAAGGTAAACCATAAGGTTAGGGAGCAACACTGGATCTTAGCAGCATCTATCGCACTGATAGATGCTCGGAAACTCATTCCACCTGGTTCTGAACATAATGAAGAGCGGAGTCAGCTTAAGCGCAAGCTGACAAGAAGTCTACGCAATGATCGTGAACAGTGGTGGGTAGCGAAAGCAAGAGAGATGGAAAAGGCAACGGCAATAGGTAATAGCAGACAATTGTTCAGACTCGTTAAGGAAACCGGAATTAGGAACCCGACTGTTAGCGAAACAATCTCAGAGAAAGATGGACATATTATTCATTCTCAATCCAGGAGATTGGATCGATGGGCAGAACACTTTAGGGATCAGTTCAACTGGCCTTCAGCCACACTTCAGTTTCCCACGATCTCTAGTCACCTGAATGGCACGTTAATGTAGGTCCTCCGTCCCTTTACGAAGTTGAAAAAGCCATAGGAAATCTGAAACGAGGGAGAGCAGCAGGCTCTGACAGGTTTACTCCTGAGATTTTTAAGGATGGTGGTCCAGTATTAGCAGTGAGATTAACTGAGGTCTTAGGTAGAATTTGGGAACTGGACGTAATCCCATCTGACTGGTCTCAATCACTGATTGTGCCAGTCTATAAGAAAGGACAAAAGTCCTCTTGTGACAATCACAGAGGAATCAGTTTGACTAATATAGTGTCTAAAATGTTAGCTTCAATAATACTTCGACGCCTAATCAAAGCTCGCCAAGAGCAGATTAGAGAAAACCAGGCCGGTTTTCGACCTGGACGTGGTTGTATAGATCAGATATTCACACTACGTCAGGTTCTAGAACACAGAAACTCGTTCAGACGCCCTACAATGGTAGTATTTCTCGACCTTAAGGCGGCATTCGACTCTGTAGATCGTGAGGTTCTATGGCAGTGTTTGTCACTGAAAGGAGTACCAAAGAAGTACATTAACCTTGTAAAGGCTCTCTACTCGAACACAACTGGTAGAGTGAGAGCTTATGGCGAACTGTCATCAGAATCGATTACCTCAAGTGGTGTTCGTCAGGGCTGTCCACTCTCCCCATTCTTGTTCAACTTTGTCGTCGACGTACTTTTAGAGATAACACTCTCCTCATCTAAATTTCCAGGGGTCGAACTTCTGCCGGGAGGTTCACTTGTTGACTTAGAATATGCAGATGACATAGTTTTATTTGGTGAAGACGCTGACAAAATGCAGAGTCTTCTGACCACTCTAAGCAACAATGTAAGCATGTTCGGGATGCGATTCTCTCCCTCGAAATGCAAAATGTTGCTTCAGGATTGGGTTACATCGACACCCGAACTAGTGATAGGGAGTGAAGTAGTTGAGTGTGTCGACCGCTTCACTTATCTTGGAAGTCTCATCAGCCATTGTAGTTTGGTGTGTGACGAAATCTCAGCACGGATACAGAAGGCTCGACTAGCTTTTGCCAACTTGCCTCATTTATGGCGTAGGCGAGATATCCATCTATCAACCAAAGGATGTGTTTACTGTGCAGCAGTTCGTTCCGTCCTGCTTTATGACAGTGAAACATGGCCGGTAAGAGTAGAGGATATTCGTAGGTTACTAGTATTTGATCATAGGTGTCTTCGAAACATTGCTCGTATATCCTGGGACCATCGAGTAAGTAACACAGTTGTTAGGAAACGGGTACTAGGTAAAGATGGCAAATCAATTGAAGTTTTACTACTTCATCAATTGAGATGGCTGGGACACGTGTTACGTATGCCCAACGATCGACTGCCTCGACGTGCTATGTTCAGTGGTATAGGAGTAAGTTGGAAGAAAGCTAGGGGCGGCCAGACGAAAACATGGCACAAGTCCATGAAGTCACTGACAAGTGGACTGAGTCATGTTGGTAGGTGTAGACTACCTGGTTGGGGACCGCGAGATGATAGCAACCGATGTTTAGAGACCCTGAATGACATGGCTCAAAATCGTTTGCAATGGCTCAGGTGCATCCACTCTCTGTGTTCTCCCAAATTCTAATCTTCTGAATTCTTCATGTCCCTTTTTTCCTCTTTCCAAATTTATTTCACTGGATCATATTCTTTAAATAACATCTCCAAACCCTAATCTTCCCGATTACTGTTTATACTCTTATTACCTCTACCACTATGGGATTTGAATCGACCACTGCATCTCTGTGCTAATGTGGTGTGGCAACTCGAACTGATGTACGTACGTACGAAGTTCTACGTTGTTACTGACTGACTGACTGAGGTTTTCCATGATGGTCTAGCTTTAACTGGCTCATGAAACTTATTTAGTTTGTTGTTAGTGCTATTTCACATACTTTTCTTACTACATACGACACTGTAGTAAACTAAGTGGGTTACATGTACAAAACGAAGTTGGAGATTACTATAAGTTGTAAACCACGTTTCATGGGAAGATACAATATTTTCATCGTTAGGATAATGTTTTAAAGTCCGCTTGGTTAACAAGTGGATGAACTGTAAAGTTTGTGCGACAAATATTTCAAAGGTTGTTTATTAGATTATTTTTCGAAATAAATAACATGCTATTTTTCAGCATAAAATTGAAGTGATAGTTAATAAACTAAACATTGCTAGCGTGCTGCTTGTTTTTTAAATTTTATTTTCTCGATAGTTTGAATTCTTGACAAATTGTACTCTTTACAGCATCTTTCATCTATGAGTTAGTTTTGTCACAAGCTGGGATCACTATCGTATCACTAAATATTGGTGATATATTTGAAATTCCCTTGGCAACGTGTAAGTAATTTTTCCTCTAAGCAAATCAGTCATTTAAGGCTTCTCGGATATTCAGTATATTAAGAATTTCACCACCGATCAATGCTAGAAGTTCCCAGTTGTTTCTGTTATTTTGTATAGATATATCAATTATCTTTTTCATGCCATTACTTTATAGTATAAACGGTGAAACTATAATTTATGGGTTAACTTTGAGTGACACTAAGGTGACCTTGAAAATATCCATCTACTAATTAAGGTTTAATGAGGGGTATAAATCAGTGTGGGGAATCAGATTTATAATTTACTGTTGGTGGTTAGCGTTAGGAGTTAGACTTAGGGTTTTTATCACAAACTGACATTAGCTAAAATGCCAAAGAGCTATTTAATCAAATAGATAAATAAGTTCCACGTCAAAATCCAAGACCTGTTGTCCTAAATCTGATTGGTTCGTCCATAAATTATAGTCTCGCCTCATAAACGATGTCTAGTGAATCGTATTCTGTGATCCATATATTATTAGTCTAGAACGTCGCACCTTAAAAATCTTCAGTTTGAATTCCTTTTGGTCGCTTTATTCTTATTTCATAAAATTAGGTTTTCAAATCCTAGTCTAGATTAAACGTATATTTATTTATAAGCATTATTTATCTCAACAGTAACTCTAATTTTGATATTTCGTTAGTTGACGAGATTTTACAATTCTTTTCATATTGAAAGCTTTTGTGTATTTCGAAAATGTCGAGTTGTTTTCAGAAACATTTACATCTTTTGAGCACATAGATATACTTAAAATGTATTTCAACACTTTAAGTTAAAGTTAAATATTTGTTTCATATGCTTGTACTCATGGAGAAAAAGATCTGTTCTAGTATAGTAAATGAGAACACCAATGGGGACAATTAAATGTATGCAAACAAAAAATTACAGAATCTCGTATTAAAATCTAGGGACCGAACAGTAAATACTTTATTTGCAAAATGTCCATCAACTGTCTCAGACTTTGCCGTTCTTTCGTTTCCATATTAATCGCTTTCTGTTCTCGTTCTCTTCTCTTCGGTTTTCTTAAATTTCTGCCGCCAGGCATTCCACTTTCAATCGGTGGTACATACTACTTATGTCTGTTGACATCAGTAACACATGCCACTCTAGTAATCGAACTGTATTTAAGCAACCATTAGTTTGTTTAGTCGTACAGGCAATCAAAACATTCAATCATATGTACGCAAAAATATGCACATTTATGAGTTCGGAAACTATATATTATAATGGATACAAAGATAATCAATAGGACTCAGGTTGACTCATTCAACTGCCAACTAGCTATCCAGTATTTCATAAAATGTACTGGTTTGTTTCACAAATTTATCGAAAATCCGTTTTTAAAGTTTTTAGTTTTATATTATTCATCTTTTATCCTAAGTTATTCTACTTGTTAGTTTATCTGATTTCCTACAGCATAATTTACTTACAATTGTGAAGTGACTTTTGTTTGGCCGTCATCATCTGAGTATTCCTAGCACCCTTGTATAATACACCTAAATCACAAACGTTGAAGGATTCACTTTCCCAATTAACATTCATAATTTCAGTTTGTTACTATCTAGATACCCTAGAGTCAAAATTAATGTAGTTTCACAGGGGCATTGATTCGAATTTTATGTTACATTTCATATGCCTTTAGGGTCTATCACCGCTTCGAATCTGGCGATTTGTGAAAATTCGTCCAATTTAGAGACATTTTTCATCATGGACCAGGATTAAGTGGAAAAACGTCATAGAAACCTGAAATATACTAACAACTGACGGAATAATTTTATACAGAAAAGGAAGTAGTCGTGTGATGTAAATCACTGGATTTAAATAATTTAATTAGAAGGTGTAGTCACTGTGAACAGTATAGGTTTTCACTTTACTGCTATATAAAATTCAAGGCGTAGAGTGATCATACGTTTCAAATTTTGACATGTCCTGTTGATGAAAGCTACCGTAGAGTTTATCAATTTAACGCATAGTATTTTGCAGTAGATTACTTACTCTGTATTATACGATAATCATTTATCATACTAGTTTATGTACTTTAAACAAGTCATTTTTCTTGGTTAAATCGTTAATCTTTTTGATTTTCTTTTTAATCCTGTTTTCTCAGGATGAAAATGGTACATACAAGCATCACACAATTGTCAGCTGTTTGAATCGCTTATGTCCAGATATTTGTAATGACTTAGTCAATATACTTTTACAACTCTTAAAGGATAATCATTCATTTAATTTGGTAAGGTGCAGAAACAAATATATATGTATATATATTTACCTATTCATTTAAACCATTATTATTTCCTAGACAGATTTCAACCCTTATTCACTTTCCGGAACAATATTAACGTCGGATCTCCAGTGGTTGTTCTCTACTTTTCTCACTTATCCATACAAACGTGCACCGAAAACGTGTCTACTTCAAACAACACCATTAGAATGTGTATGTATATTATTCTGACCGACTAGTGCATATACATAATAATGCATATTTCAGGAGCAGTTGTCACATTTACATTGTTTGTATGACAGTACGAATCATGGGATGAGTTTGACCAGGTAATTACTTCGGTATTGTGTTGTGGATTCTTAAATATTATGCTGGATTTTTTATCGATCTCATCAACAAAGGTCTTGTTAATTCACAGTTACAATAACATTATGTATTTATGCGTTTTTAACTGCTCTATATCCATTTTCTCAGCTGTTTTAAGATACTAGCTTATGTTATTATCATATACTTAACCAAAAACTGGAGTATTCGGTCTTCTGGTCAAAACCAAACAATCGATATGGTGTAAAATGATGTCAAGCTACCCGAAAACCATGGTCAAGGAATGCCATCCATGATCACTTATCTTCAAGTATGAACTTGGTATCTAGGATGTTGTGCACCATAATTTGTGATTTGCTTTTTGTATAGAGCGAAGATGGTATTTTTCAAACAACTATCTGGTTGTGCCAGTATTTTTGATCATATTCGGGTGGATCATGTAACTTGTCTGGCTAAAACTGATCGCGATGAAGAATAGTTACTTTTGTCTGGTGATGGATTTAGTATGAGATGAAAGGAATAAATTCAACTGCCGTCTTTTAGTTTTCTCATTCACAATTTTTCTTCTAGATATTTATTTTCATGTCAATCATCTGGTTTTAACAACTATTTATCTATTTAGCCTAACTTCGTTATTTCAAGTTTGTACCATTTTGTGGACCTATAAATAATGTCTCTGTTATTCTTACTCACAGTTTTTTTTCAGTCTGAGGAAAAGATACATTACTGAGTTTTGTTTCTTACTATAAAATGGCTTGGACATAAACAAATATTAACAAAGGAGGTTGAGTACTGTTTGTTTCTAGTGAATTAACATGCATAAGGTATATTTTCATTTGATATCCAGCTCAAATTTAGCTAGGAAAAAGAGGTAAAATGAACTAGAGGTATATGCGTTAATCAGAGAAATCAGTTTTATGAAGCTAATATTCAGTGATTTTGCCTTATTTTCGACTTATCCTTGCTAAGTATTAGATATACCATTTAGCCTAAATCTTTCAGTGTTGAATGACATTAAAATTCACTTGTTTTTTGAGAATGTCTGGACTGTGAGAGCTCTATTTACGAAAGGTTTTTTAAATGTGAATCGTTCCACGATCCTTCTTATTGTCGTAAAACAATAAAATAACACTCACAAGTGCTAATTCATTCAAAGTTTTTAAATACTGCCATAAGGGTATGACTAAATGGAAGGACAATAATGTTTCCAGTATATTCGTATTCGTGATATCATCCCGTGAAATTTCTTAAGGTTGCTACTATCATTGTACATGACCAAAACTCCTGCCGTAATCATTTATGTGTAGATGAGATTTATAAATTTGCTGAAATCACGTTTAAAAAGCGAACATAATACAGCTATCATATTCAGTTAACCGATTTATATAATTACTGAATACAAGTATAATCGATATACATTCACTACTGGAATTTCATTTCTCAATGTAAAATTATGGATTTGCTTATTTTCTGCTATTAAATGCCATTTCAGAAACAGTAGCTATCATTAATATATAATTAAATAGTATAGTTTCGCTAATCTAGTACCATGAAAGTCCAATCACGTGTACTTGCTCTGTTTGGCTTTTATTATGTTATACTTACTTGATATGATAAATTACTTACTTACTCCTGTTACTCCTCGTGAAGGAGCATAGGCCGCTCACCAGCATTCTCCATCCAAACCTGTCCTGGGCAATCCTTTCCAGCTCCTTCCAGTTGTTATTCATCTTTTTCATATCTGCTTATATTTCCCGACGTAATGTGTTCTCTGGCCTTCTTTTCCGCTTCCCTTCAGGATTCCAAGTTAGGGCTTGTCTCGTGATGCAGTTTGACGATTTGCGTAATGTATGTCCTATCCATTTCCATCGTCTTTTCCGAATTTCTTCTTCAGCTGGAAGCTGATTTGTTCTCTCCCAGAGAAGGCTGTTGTTGATGGTATCCGGCCAATGGATGTTGAGTATCTTGCGTAGACAACTATTTATAAATACTTGTACATGTTTGATGATAGTTGTAGTAGTTCTCCAAGTTTCAGCTCCATACAGTAGAACTGACTGCCTTGACGTTCTTATTGAAGATTCTGTCTTTGATATTAGTCGAAAGTTGTTTTGAGTTCCATATGTTCTTCCATTGTAGGAATGCGGCCCTTGATTTGCCAATCCTCGCCTCTATGTCTGCATCTGATCCTCCTTGTTCATCGATGATGCTTCCCAGGTACGTGAAGGATTCTACATCTTCCATAGTTTCGCCATTAAGAGTGGATCGCTGTTCCTGTAAGACTTGGAACCTGTTGTTGAGAGCTATCTTGAATTCATTGTTTGTCAGTATCTCGAAGGAAGGCTGTATTGAACATTTGTAGTGCTGTTTGTCCAGTCCTTCTTTAGCTTCAGTTTCAAATTGACCACAACTAGGTGGTGATCTGAAGCTATGTCAGCTCCTCTCTTGGTTCTCACATCTTCCATTGTCCTTCGGAACTTCTTATTGATGCAAATGTGATCTATCTGATTCTCTGTGGTGTGGTCCGGTGAAATCCATGTAGCTTTGTGTATACGTTTGTGTGGGAATATTGTGCCGCCTACGACAGATTTGTTGATTGCACACAGATTTACAAATCTTTCTCCATTTTCGTTTCTCTGTCCCAGTCCATGTCGTCCCATGATATCTTTGTATCCGGTGTTGTCTATTCCGATTTTGGCATTTAGATCTCCCATCAGAATGGTGAGGTCGCTTTTTGGGCACTTCTTTATGATTGACTGCAGCCGCTCGTAGAATTGATCTTTAATGTCGTCGTTGCTATAATTGGTGGGTGCATAACATTAAATAATGTTCATTGTGATCCCCTCCTTTGTTTTGAATGATGCTTTGCTGATTCTGAATCCGTGAGATTCCCATCCTAAAAGTGCATTTTGTGCTACTTTGGACAGCATTAGAGCAACTCCCTGAGTGTGTGGAGCTTTGTCCTCTTCGTGACCGGAGTATAGCATCATCTCTCCCGTATTTAGCCTTTGTTGTCCAGCTTGGGTCCGATGGGTTTCGCTGATTCCCAGTACTGCCAAGTTGTATCTCCTCATTTCCGTTGCTATTTGACTGGTCTTCCAGGTTTCCCACATTGTCCGTACGTTCCATGTATCTATAAAAATTGTTGCTCTGGTTGTTAGAAGGGGCATCGGCCTCGTGGCTTCCGAAGGAGCTCGGCTTTCACCACGAAGCGTCATAATTCTTTTGAATGAAGATGGTTCAAATCGGAGGGCCGAGTTTAAATGGTTTGAATTATTTTATCTGGTAAGCTTTTTTTAGCGAGTTAGTTTTCTACGGGATGGGGTCGCTAACCCTATCCCAAACCTTCCTCCTTTACCCGGGCTTGGGACCGGCAGTAACTCTAGAAGAGCTACATGCGGAGTTGATATGATAAATTAAATATCCATGATTTTAGATTTAGAAAGTGTACTAAATATTGCGCTTCTTTCATTCTATGTAATGAAAGTTTCGATAATTTTTATTATTTATGTTGAAGACGTGTCTAATATATATATGTATATTTCATAAACACATGTTTTTACTGTTATAACTTACTCTTCTATTAAGTCATTTTTTATTGTATCATGTTTCTCTCACTTTCAAATTGTAAGAAACTTAAAGTGAATTATAAAATTTATTCCAGCCCTATTTGAAGTAATTCATACTATAAATACTAGCGTTACCTTATTCCATTTATGATGAAATTTGGTGTACACTAAGTTAGATAATAAAACGTAAAAAAGCTGTGGTTAAAAAAAAGACTTTCTCATCCTACTTTATCGGTAGCTTCCCGATGTTTGATCCCAAAGTTTTCTAACTCTTGTTTGTCTACGGTTCAATTAAAGCCATCAACTTCACTTAACATTCCTTAGAAAAATGCAAAAACATCGAGTATTTAAATATATTTCACTGACATGATCCAAATCATGAAAACACCAATTTTTTAAACCGGTATTTTTAAGAAGTCTACATCCTACGTGTAGGACCATAAACTAAAAAAGAACAATCTTATAATTGATTAATCACTGAGCAGTGACTAATGTCATGTTTGTCTATTCTGTTGTCTCTGATCGGATTCTATCTATCTAGTTGCCATGTCAAAATGACTTAACATTGCATCCCTTATTATGAGATGTCAGGTGGTCGGAGGTAGTCAGTAGGATTATTTGGATCTACTTTCCGTACTATCTGGGACCTGTCGCTAAGTCATACCTGCAATCTTAAGGCAAGTGATACTGTCTGGTGGATTCGAACCCATGTCATCCAACTTTACAACCTGAGACGTTAGCATTGAGCTATGCTGACCTCAACTGATTTCCTACGGAACTGAGCTATTTAAAATTGTTCTCATGTTTGCTTAGTGGTTTATTGTTGATCGAATTTTATTGATCAATTCCCCTACTCTTTAACGATCCATCAACCTATATCAATAACCGAAACTCTCCAATTTAAACAACTTTATGGAATTTTTTTCATGTACTAGTCACCGTTTTGCTTCAATCTAATTTATTCGATTCTTATAGCTATCGATCAGTGTAACAGTTTATCATCATATACTTTTCCCAATTCTATTTCATTATTTAGACTGTTAGAACTGGTATTTGATTACAATGGACCAACGATTGTCTTTCTCAAAGCTAAAGAATTTTTATTCTGTTTATTGTCTGACCAAGGTTTAAAGTAAGATATTCATAAGTGTAATTTACTTTAAATTTCTCTGAACATTACTTGAATTTCTTTGTAAATATTTGTTACGTAATATACTAACTGGTTTCAGTGTTAGTTATTTTTATTTATGGCGTTAAATGCTAAGCAGTGTGAATATACCGCCATTTTTATACGTATACTTGTTCTTTGTAAATATTAACATTGGCAAACTATTTATATATCTTCCTAAATGTTTATCTGTTTCAACTCTAGCACAAGGCCTTTACTTCTCTTTGTGCTTTTCAAGAGAATAACCTCTTATATTATCTTATCGAGTAGTTCAGTCAATTCTCGTTATTAATTCAGAATTTTTTAATAGAGAAAGTGGTTTCAAGTTTAGACTATAATTTGAGTGAGTAGACTGTGTATATATATGTGTTAACTATACTACTCTCAATGAAGTTAGCAATACCCATTCATTCTTATTAAGTTTGGTTTAAACACATTTTCCCAATATAAAAACATATCTTTTCGAAACATCCCAGGAACACAAATTGTAAAGTAAGATATCAAATAATACAGTCATTACTATTTCACATACATTTCTTTGTTTTTACACTTCCAAAAGAAACTGATGAAGATTATTTATGCAAACACATGTTATTCAGCCAAAATTGTTTAATCGACATCCATTGTTTCCCATCAAAAACAATTTTTAAGACAATAACACTCTGAAGTAACTATTTCCGAGGTTATTTTAGATTGTTATTTAAATATATGACAAAAAAATTCCCGTCTAATTAATTACATCGAATGCTGATTGTAAATCTACAACAAATAATGAATGTAGCTAATGGTTTCTATGCAGTTTAATAAACTGAAATAAATTACAAAGTGGTTTAATTTTTCTTTTCTGTTATATAGAGAATCATTAAAAACGTTTGGCAAAGAGTATTCATTTCTCTATCAGATTCAACCGAAATTTATTCGACTTGTATGTAAGTGTATGTACATTTTCCAACAAAATTTTTTAACAATTTTTATCTTACTGAAATTCATAATGCTTCTCTAGGTTAATTGATCGGTTTGACGAAATCAAATTGAAGCATACTTGGAATTCTTCAATAGCAAACAGAATATTCAGCAAGCATTCGACTTAATCGTGTTTATTTACCTGTTACAACCCGAGTAGTTTATTTTGCTAGAACACGTGTATACCGTGAAAACTTGGTAATTTCTAACCGAGTTACCATAGATCGTCATCAACAATTAGTAGTTTTGGAGCACTGGACATCTATATCGTTGTAATTTTTAAAACGTGAACTACCAGATTTTCATTCAGTATTATAAAGGTAATACGCTCTCCACTAGTCCTAAATATTCTAGGTTCGATCTCTGGCGAAGATATAGATGCACGTTTACGATCCTCATATCAGGGTGATACATTTGTTCAGCCCCTCGCGTTTTCAGTGGTGGTCCAACAGTTTGTGATGTAAACTATTTCCAATTAAAATGAGTAATTTAATATATGGATTACAATGAATGGAATAAATAAATATCAACTAATAACAACCATTTCGCTTCATTTTAAGTGCAATTCCCAACTAATTATGTTACTATGCTCAAATCAAAATTCCAGGTTTTTTCCATCAAAGACCCTATGATGTTAACAAATAAAAGCAGCTATTTCTCCTGGCCAATTAACTGAAAGTTAATAAAACCTTAGAATCAATGTTACCGCTTATGCAGTTTCGTTATCACAAGACCACTCATTATTACTTAACAAGCAACTTTCCAGAATATGATTATTCTCACTTCAATACATTCCAAAGAGGATTACTTCAGTGCAGGTGGATTGTCCAAAATTTATAAGTTATTTGACATCAACTAACATACATTTACTAGGTTATCGTCTTATCAAACACTCACACAGACTAGCTTCGTGAGGGAATTCTCGGAGTTCTAATGAGAAGCCGTGACCAGTGGAGCTAATCTGTGTCGAGTAGAGACAGGTATCTACCTCAGTACAATGGAAGATGGTCGCGCAATTTCGTGGATTGGTTAAGATTAGACACTAACACCGTTGGATGTCAACTCAGTAGTCTAGAGGTTAAGCGTTTGCACGCGAGACTGAAGGCCCTGAGTTCGAATTCCGCGAGCGGGATCGTGGATGTGCACTGCTGAGGAGTCCCACAACAGGACGAAACGGCCGTTCAGTGCTTCCAGGTTTTCAATGGTGGTCTAACATAAGTCAGTTCATGATCTAACTTCACTATTTCTCCATTTCCTTAAATTCATTATCCATCCATTCTTTACGATGCAACAAGACTTACATGATCTAATTGTCATGACTTGTTACCCCATTAATTTATCACGTGATAAGATCGCTAATAGACACCGACTTATACGACCAGACCAACAACGCATAAACGTGTACGAGCAACCTACGGTTCCTGTTGGTCCTCTGAGATAGTAGCTTCTCCCTTAACCCACCATGTTCGGTCCAGAACGCCAAAATCAGCCTCCGCTATACGAATCATAAATTTCGGACATACTTGGTTTATATACATACAAACCAGATAGCATCATACCATAAAATAGAAAATAACAATTACACAAGACCAAGTCAAAGTGGCTGTGATTAATAGATTGAGAATAGTAAATCATATAACAGTAACCAATAAGTCGAATGAAAGATAATAATAAAAGGACTATAAATATACAAATAATAGTTACTTAATAGTTATGCCTTGTGGATCAGACCTTCAGGTCGAAGGCCCGGGGAGTGGCCCCCTAGGAAAACCACCTGCTTCGGTTTGGGCACCCGGGCAGTATCACAGCCCTCACATATGTATTTGATGCCTATTTGTACCAATATCTATGTGTTGAAATAATAAGAATATACGTAATAATCCATAAAAAATTCTTAACAGTTACCATTAGCTTGTTCTTCGTTAGGACATAACACGAATAAATTATTTTATATAAGTATAATATCCACTAAAACAAAGCTTTTAACTCGTTTAATTGACTTTTAGTGACAGGTATGTGTTCTGATGTATTTTCATTAAAATCGAGTATTATTTAAAAATAGCTGAGATACAGTTTATTAGGAATCCAAGCTGATGATCACGTAAGTATTACTGACTGTAAAAATGGTAAATTGTTTTTATCTTCATTTGATGTTCCGTATAAATATTCCTGTCTTTTATTTATCTTCTGCTTTGTTCCTCTCTGTATCGACCGTTACTTTTTCTTTCCTATATTTTAAAAGCTGGTAAATTAGGCACAGATTCGGGGATATTTTATGCAAATTTTACTTCGAAAACATCAAAACGTGGTCTTTTTGTGGGGCACCAACCACTGATATCGCCTGTAATTGAAATAAATGAAGATTTTACTGAGTTGAAATATAATTCTGGTCTACCAATACGTTTAAATGCAATCGAAGTTTGGGCAGCTGGTTCCAGTGATCACATGTCTAAATTAGAAGATCAAAAGAAATGGGAATCTGATCAGGTATCCTATTTTAACCGAGCGTGTTAGCTATATGGACCATTTAGATACATAATATAACACTTTAGATAATAGGACAGACACCGTTAAGCTACCTTGTTAAATAGTAATGATAAAGCAATAGCACTGACCACGATTGTCATGGCTTAATATTTTGAGTTTGCTATGAACATAACCACCTGCTTCGGTCTGGGCACCCGGGCAGTATCACAGCCCACACAGATGGTGAACTGTCTATATTTATGGAAACAACTTTTCTTGCTTCGACTAACAATCAAGTGGTTCAAATTATTATTATTATTATTATTATTATTATTATTATTATTATTATTATTATTATTATTATTATTATTATTATTTACTATGTCATTATTCACCCTCTTTCATTCCTACTCTGTCTTTACTTATTTTTTCGACTTATACAGCAGCTCGCCTATGGTGGAAACTTGGTTCTATCTAAACGTTCTCGAGTCACTGCCTGGTTGAAAATTGTGTGCTACCACCAAATACGAATACTGAAGCAGTTTTTCTGAAACTACGTTCACCATTCAAACTGGCTGCCTTCAACGTTCGCACACTTATGCAGGTCGGACAACATATAGGGTTCGTTATGTCTTTGGAAAGTCTTAATATCGATGTTTGTTGTCTATCCGAGACTGATGAGGTACTACAGATTCGCTCTACATCTGTTGCTTCAAAAGGCTTGTCTTACGTGCGCTTATCCGGGGACCCTGTGGCATCTTCGTCTGGTCTTACTGGCGTTGGTGTCGCACCAAGCGCTAGAGCTGAGGCAGCACTAATCGATTGGATCCCCATTAACAGTCAGTTATGTGATGTTAGATTAGAAAGTTCCATCAAAGTGAGAAGAAATCGGCGTGAGAAACGATGTCTTTTCGTCATCTCCGCCTATGCCCCGACAGATTGCAGCCCGGATGCAATCAAGGATGAGTTGTACCACCAGTTATCTGTTCTCCAGAAAGTGCATTCGACAGATATTGTAGTACTAGCCGGAGACTTGAATGCTCAGGTCGGGCGTCTAGGCACAGAAGAGAGTCGTTCAGGTGGCCGACGGGGACTCGTTGGTCGCAGGACAGATAACGGGGACCGTCTACTGCAACTATGCACAGGCCACAACCTGTTTCTGGCTAGCACTAACTTTCGGCACAGTCATCGCCGATGTGCCACCTGGCGTCCTCCCTCTGCATCTCAAGCCTGGACTCAGATTGATCACATCGCGATCAGCTACCGCTGGCGTGGTTGTGTACAAGACTGCCGCTCCTTGTGGAGTACCTATCTGGACTCTGACCATGCCTTTGTCTGCGCCAATCTTGCCTTACTTTTCAGTGGACAACGAAGTGACCGCCATCAACGGATTGATATTAGCAAGCTGGTTGCAACTTCTGTTGCTAGCAAGTATCGAATCAAGCTAGCTTCTAGGCTAGCTATCATTCCACCGAAAAGTATAGATGAGCATTGGTCGCAATCGCATGACGCCATGAAGATGGCGGATGCAGTCAGTTATGGGTTCGCGAAACGTCCCGCTTACAAGCACTGGTTTTCTTCAGGTTCCTTACAACTCACTGAAGCCCGTCGGTCTACTCCGGGTGACCGTGAGTTTGACCATAAACGAAGGATGTTACGTAGTGAAATTGGGCAAAGCTTGCGTAAGGACCGAGAAGCCTGGTGGTCGAAGGATGCTAATGAGCTGGAAGCAGCAGCTGCATCTGGTAATTACCAGAAGCTCTTCCAACTCATCCGGGCCCACTGGCAGCACGAAGTCTGGTGTGAGCGATACAATTTGCGAGGGTGACGGGATGCCAATCACTAATATCCATCGACGTCTTGGACGGTGGTCAGGATTCTTCGAAGGGCAGTTCAACTGGCCTGCTTCTCCGGTAACATCAGTTAGACTGTCCTGCCCTCCATGGCCGGTGACGATTGATCCACCAAATGAGGCGGAAGTCCGAAAGGAACTCCAAATTTTGAAGCGCTACAATTCACCGAGTCCATATGACTTACCTCCGGCTCTTTTTAAAGATAGTGGTGACTTTCTGACTAAGGAACTGACGACGTTGTTTACAAAGGTCTGGGAGTTAGAGAGTGTACCAATGTCATGGAATGAGTCGATAGTTGTCCCTATCTTTAAAAAGGGTTCACGCCGTTCCTGTAACAACTATCGGGAGATAAGTCTACTTCCGATTGCGTCCAAGCTATTGGCTTCCGTCATACTTCGTAGACTGTTCAAAACCCGAGAAAGATTGACTCGCGAGGAGCAGGCTGGGTTTCGTTCCGGTAGAGGATGTATTGATCATATCTTTACCCTCCGCCAAATGTTAGAACACCGTCATACTTATCAAAGGCCAACAATCGTAGTGTTTCCGGACATCAGAGCTGCCTTCGATTCGTTGGACAGGACTGTTCTCTGGGATTGTCTATTGAAGAAGGGTGTGCCTGAGAAGTTCATTAACATCCTAAAAGCCCTATATACAAACACCTCAGGCAAAGTGAGGGCATACAACCACCTCTCTCCATTGTTCCATTCGAGCAGTGGAGTTAGGGAGGGTTGCCGAATCTCACCATTCCTCTTCAATTTTACCATCGATGACATTCTGGAAACAGCTCTGATGGATGTAAGTAATGGTGGTGTGGATCTGTTGCCTGGAGAAAGACTTCTCGACATTGAGTACGCGATAATACCCAAGCCATACAATCCGCCATTAATCAGTTGGCAATCAATGTCCGTAGGTATGATATGTGCTTTGCACCTTCGAAGTGCAAAGTACTTCTACAAGACTGGCAGGATTCTAATCCTGTACTCACCCTGAATGGTGAGCAGGTAGAAGTAGTCGATAAGTTTGTGTATCTGGGTAGCTGCATAAGTGCTGATGGGGGTGTGAGTGATGAGATCAATGCACGAATAGTGAAAGCCAGAGCGGCTTATGCCAATCTGGGCCATCTTTGGCGCCTTCGTGATGTTGGTCTGGCTGTAAAAGGTGGGATTTACAACGCGTCGGTGAGAGCAGTTTTGCTCTATGCTTGTGAAACCTGGCCTCTCCGAGTTGAGGACGTTAGAAGACTCTCTGTGTCCGATCATCGTTGTCTCCGAAGGATTGCTGACATTCAGTGGCAACACCATGTTAGTAATGCAGAGGTTCGGCATCGTGTGTTCGGGCTTATAGATGATAATGCGATCGATGTCACCATCTTAAAACACCGACTTCAGTGGCTTAGACATGTTCTACGAATGTCGTCCCAGAGAATTCTACGTCATGTATTATTTGCCGACTCTGGGGTTGGTTGGAAGAAGCAGAGAGATGGTCAGTGTATGACATGGTATCGTGGTATGAAAGAAAGCTGCAAAGGACTGGCTTGTGTTGGTCCTTCACGACTCCCTGGCTGGGGTCCAAGCGATGGTGCTACACAGTGGCTAGAGACGTTATCAGATATAGATTAGAATAGAAGTCAGTGGCGATCCTGCTGTAACCTTTCTTTACTTTCTTCGTAAAAAGTGGTTGTATCTTCCTTAACTGAAAGATTTCTTCTGATTGTACCTTTCTGTTCCCCCATTATTACTATTATTATTTTTACACTACCTTACACCAATATCTTCGTTATCGTTCTCTCTTTTTTAACGCTCCTTACCGTTTTTCTTTTTCCTTCTATTTAAATTCTCATTGTTTTGTGTGGCGCATATATATTTGGCGCACTCTTGTACCAATATTTATGAGTTCAAATAAATAAATGAACATGTTCAAGTTCTTTAATAGTTAAATTAATGCTAATTGATGCGGTGTGGTCAGTGGATAATTGGCCACAAATACCTACTATTAACCCGAGCTTTCAAATGAACTGATATTAGATGACAACACAATTGACCAATAGACAAGTTTTTCAACGAAACGACACTTAAAGGGAAGACCTTAACACAAACATAAATTAAATTTGATTCGAAACATTGTAAAATATGGGCTATATCGATACTTGAGCTAATCCAACTTGTGAGTGATTATACAAGTATAGTGTAGAAAGTAATTTCCTAGATGTAATTGTAAACTATTCCCTAGACTGTCGAGCACAGAGTCTTAGCTTAGCCAAAGTCAAAACAAGTAAGTTATTTGGTTAGATAAACTTTATCTGTTTCTTAAACGTAAATTAATACTAATGGTATACAAAATAACAATTAATACAGTCCACTAAAAAGGGAATCGACAGACAAATAACGTACGGAACAGTAACTAGAGCATAGGGAAAATGAGTCAACGAACCTAATATCGTTCATAATAAATATAAATTTATGATTGGTGAATAAGCAAAACATAGTCATACAAGGTCAAAATAAGTTAACGTGTGGTGGGTGTATCGTGTTATCATTGGTGGGTTCATCTATCCATCACACTTTACGTATATAGGTGATTTTACGATACTTAATTTGATAGATTAAAATAAAAGTGGTCGTAACTGATTATTCAGTTGGCTAAGTGTGTAGACAGTTCAACCAGATCTCTGTAGAATCTAAACTGTACATGTATATAACTAACGTCGTGTGAAAGGAGTTAGTTATCCATTCATATATTGGCATCTTTTATTTAAGTCATTTGTGTCTCAAAGAGATACAGTACTATCTATATCATTACAAAAATCTTAGTGAATAAGAGGAACCTTCATTAATGCTCACTAACTACTATGTAAATGAATTCATTGAAATGCAAATTAGTCAATTAAGAGTAGAGTATACAAGCTATCAAATTACTTGTTGCTTTTTTTCTTACACTGCTTGTATAGTTTTACTTGAAGTTTTTTGTACGTTTACTGTTTGTGGTAACATTTAAACTAAGTTTGCACAAATCAAAATTTCAACGTTATTGTTTCACCAAAGTTCACATAATTAAGTCACGTCATAAAACTAAGTAAACAAAGCAACGATTCTAATTAAACAATGGAATAATTTCATTTCAACTAAATATCATCAAAGCTCCTCACTACAGTTTATGGTGCTAACTTATAATAGAGTGCAAATACAATGGTAATTAATTAACATCCCGGACTGACCTTAGTTAAATAACCATTAAAATCCAGGAAGCATTGGATAGCTGTTTCTCCCAGTATTAGACTTTTCAACTGTGTAGATCAAGACCCCGACCTGGACTGAACCCCGCAGCTTCAGATCTCACAGCAAGTGCTTAACATTTAGGTCACTTAGCCTATGTTCAGTCATTTACATGTTTAACTTTAACTCGTGTCGCTCAACCACCTTACATTAATGGTGGTAAGGAAAACGAGTAATTGAATTGCTAGGTTTGAAGCGATTACGAGTTCACTTAGTCTGCGTACGGAACAAAGACTTGTGACCAAAAGACCAATGAACTAGCTATTTTGTTGCGTCCCAGCTCCGCTAACTAGAGAGAGAAGTCAAAGTCCGAACGGGGAAGTATATTCCGCAAAAGATAACATTCCGCGTGATCTTTCGCTGACAGAGATGCAATTACCATGTTTTCCTCAGCCGCCAATCCATCATTACCGAGTCGTGAGGAAGCTTCTGCCTGACCGAATCGTTAAGTGCGTCGGTATTGGATCTCGAAATCAGACCTTAAGAGTACCAAGGGTCATCGCTGAAGACGATTTGCGGAATGGGCTCCGGTTGCACCCAGAGAAATGCCAGTTTTTATTGCAGTCAGTAAAGTATTTGGCGTTCATTTTTGACGCTGACGGCCGCAGACCGGATTCTGAGAACATTCGAGCTATCAAACTGATTCCCACCCCCACTAATGTCTCGGCACTACGTTCCTTCATGGGACTTGTTACCCATTATGCAGCGTTCGTTCCTTCAATGCATGATATTCGCGCTTCATTGAATCGTCTGCTGGAGAAGAACAGCACTTGGAGATGGACTAAAGAGTGTGATGCGGCGTTTCATAAACTCAAGTCCATAATTAACTCGGGATTGTTGTTAACGCACTACGGTCCATTCATGCCGATTATCGTAGCTACAGACGCTTCAGCGTATGACCTAGGTGTTGTTATTTCACATCAGTTTCCAGACGCGTCAGAAAAGGCTGTTATGCATGCATCCCGTACACTAACCCCGGCAGAAAAGAAATACAGTCGGATAGAAAAAGAGGCTCTCGCACTTGTGTTTGCCGTTCGACGTTTCCACAAGTTTCTATACAGTAGGAGATTTACGCTTCTCACAGATCACAATCCTCTGCTCGCAATATTCGGGTCCAAATCTGGCATTCCAGCCCATTCTGCAAATCGTCTTCAGCGATGACCCTTGGTACTCTTGAGGTCTGATTTCGAGATCCAATACTGACTCACTTAACAATTCGGTCAGGCAGATGCTTCCTCACGACTCGGTAATGATCGATTGGGGGCTGAGGAAAACATAGTAATTGCATCTCTGTCGGCGGAAGACCATGCGGAATGTTATCTGACAATCTCAATACGGGCATTGTCGGTGTCTGCAACAGACATCCGAAACGCTTCCGGGAACGACCCCATCATCAAGATAGCGATGGACTATGTCACCAACGGTTGGTCGTCTAAGAAGTTTGATGGGGACATGAAACAGTTGTATCGGCGGCGGGACTCACTATGCATTGTAAACGACTGTTTGGTGTTTGGAGAAAGAATGGTTGTGCCGGAGCCCCTTCGCGCAAAAGTGCTGAAATAAAATCGCAAAATTAGGACCTTTTTCAAGTGAGTTCTGGGGATCTAACGTCCCCAACATGAAGGAAGTGGAGAGTGATGCAAAATTTAAAAGGAGAAATGAAATTACTAAGTAAACAATGGGAGTTTTTATATTTTCAAAAAAAAAACAACGGCTTTTGTTCATTGAATATCATTCAGAGTAAGTTATCATACAATTTCGGTCTTTTTTGTATTAAAAATGACTTTCAAATATACTATTTCTGTTCGAAAAGTTGCATTTCGATGGAATTACTATGTTGAAAGTTGAACTCTACAACCTGATGATAGGTTAAATATGTAACTCAATAACTAACATGCATTACCTTATTTAAGTTGACTCAATATCTGATATCATTTGTTTGATTGCGAAAAATAGTGTTCCTAATTATCTCGGTACAGTTGTCTTAAACATATATTTGATGTACAAAAGTACTTGAACTGTCGAATACTTACAGCGAATCCAACTAGTCTTTGTTGTTAGGAGAATAATTAATATGTTTGCTGTAGTAAATGTCATCCTCACTAGCATGTTATGAAATATTACTAAACTCCAGTTTCAAGAATATAAATATCGTATATATTTCACAGTTAAATGCTTTGTCATAAATTTCGTCCGTTATCAAAGCTTTTATAATTTTGGAAGATTACAAATTAAATTTTCTTGTTGATATCTGTATAAAAGATTGGTAATTATTATCCTGTAATGAATATGCATTGAATATGTCACTCTTTATTAAGTTGGATTAACCACTTTGTACAAATTATTTCCTAACTTTACATAACATTCTTCTCTAAATTACAGCTCACTGAACCAGTGATATTTAACATAAACGGAAATAAATAAAACAGAAAATCTGCGATTTATTTCATTTAAAGACTCTAATAATGTATTGCTTTTTGAGTTGATCGCATTATTAATAATTAAATCTGCTTTCTCTTGTATTGTGAACTGGGGATATTTTTACAAAATCTAGCATCAATCTAATCAACTTCATTCTGTGTATATAAATAGCAGATGATAATTGCGCTATAAAAAGAATTTGAGTCACTGTTTGATTTCCAAATTACCAATCAAATATTTTACTGGACGACTGAGACGAAATAAATATATTTATTGAAGGAGATATAAATTAGAAGCTATCAAGTTTTCACCCCAATCCTCAGAATATATTTACGTTTTAATATTGTTAAAGTATATAGTATAAAAGTTCATACGTCACATACTATCATTGAAATCCTAGGCAATTTGATATGTCGTAGAGTTACTGGCTATATAGTTCATCATTTCTGTTTATGACATATTTTAGTTGTTAACATTAAATTTTTAGTAATTAAGGCATTATTTATAACTTTTGTTTTCCGTTAGGTTGCTAAAGCGAAAGAACGGAAGTTGAAAAATGAAACATGGCAAGATTCTGCTGATCGTTTCCTACTAGAATTAGATGGGAAGCGAGTATGTCATTCTGATGGGATTGAACCATCATGAATACTATTTGAATTCACTCTCATTTCCGAGTATACTTCTCAGCGAAATGCATAATAATAATGATAATATAGCTGAAACTAATTCGCCGACTTTTCAAAAGAACAATTCTTTTGATGTAAGTACTTTTTAAACTTCCATTCTCGCACCAAGAATCTCTTTTTTGCCATGGATTTTAAATATCATTTTTCATCATTTGCTTTCGGGAATATTTTCTATTATGTCGTAAAATCACTGCACATTTTAACTATTCATATCTTATCTATTTAAGTTTACAAAATTCTTCAGTCACCATCGTTTTTTTCTTGTAAACATTAGATCAGTTGTAACAGTGATTATCGTTAATATTCTTCGTTCATATATTTCTATGTAAATGTACAGAATGAGTAGACCATCCATGATAACTTTCTCTTTTTACTGAATTTGCTGATTCTGGCTGAGTACAATGAAATAGAGGAAGTCTCATTATTTATAGATTTTAAGTGGTTAAGAGGATATTCTCACAAAACCCTAAACCTAGATATACCACTCGATTGCAGTTATCAGCAAAGCAAATATACAATCTTGGGGGTAACAGGCACCAACTAGTGTCAGTTAGAGGTGGTAATTAGTCTTTGGAACCTAGAACTTTATAGTGATTGGTAACTTAGTGGTAAGCACATTGATTACCACTCAGTGTTGTCTTTATCTGACTATGCTTGTGTATCATAAGATGTTTAGGTCAATATTTTAGTTCACCATACAGTTTATTACTATAATATTTAGTTATTACAGTGAATAACTGATCTATTCTAGTTTATATCCATCGTCTCTAAGTTACCTAGTAACATGTTATCGAACTATATCTAGCGAAAATAACATTTTACAAACTTAACGGAAGTATCACTGGAAAATCTATCAAACAAAATCCTCATATCACTAAAGCTAATAATAAGTCATATTCTGCAAAGAGAACTAGAATATATATTCCGAATGTTACAAAGTCTGATTGGTAATACATTTGTTTCGAAAATTTGCATATTGTTCTATCCGAGTATCCCACTTTAAGTAATCAGTCCCCTCATAACACCAAAGTGGGTTTATTCTCCCACCAATCACGATTCAGTTAATGTCATTTTTAGCGAACTTGTGTAACTCTGTACATCACTTACGGGATGAACAGTCCCCAAATTCGACAAGTCAATTTCTAGCTGCTGTGACTTTATGAGCCGCTTGTGTATCACGTAGTCTATCCGCCAATCAAAATACAACTTATTCGCCCTAATACTGTACTAAACCAATGACGTTCGACCGGTCTGATCAGCCTAGTGTTCTATTGGTCCGTTGCTCGCCTAGCCCGTCCAGCTGAGTCCAGAATGCCAATAACAGCCTCCACTAAGCGAATCATTTATTTCAGACATACTGGGTTTATATACCAAACAAACAGACCGCAACGTACCATAAAATGAAAAATAACACTCGCACAAAATATAGCCAAAAGTGGCTGTGAACGTGGGAGACAGTAATTAATAAACTGAGTATAACTTAGGAACAGTAAATCGTACAATAATAATCTCTAGGTCAAAATGAAGCTTATAATAAGGGGAATATAGTTATATACAATCTAGTTACTGAACAGTTATACCATAAGAATATATAGATAATATTAGTCCGTTAGTAGGTCTCAGATGCTACTGGAAATTAAATCTTCGCTAGGATATAATAATAGCCTCCTTTCTCAGCTTTCCGTCAACTAGTTGGCGTATACTTACATTTGAGTGGACATATCATAAATGGACAATCCACTGTTCCTATCATTAAATGATCGTTTGCTTGAGTAGACAAGCAACTTGTTATATTCTAACAAATTCACACCAATGGTGGACACTAAAATGTCTACAATAGCAGAAATCTAATGCGTAGTCTTAATTTGATCAACGATAGGACAAGTAAGCTTTTTCCCGTTTGTGGTGATGTTTTAGAGAAATTAGTGCTTTGCTCCTGGTTATTTTCAGTGATATAAAAGATTAATCCATAGCACCATTGTTTCTTGGATGATTTTATCAAGTAAGGTGATTACCGAAACAAGCGAGCGAAAAGAAATCAAACGGTTTATACGAGTTCGTGATAAATATACTGAATATTAGATTCAGTGGTTTTCGTTTAGTTCTCAACCTATAAAAATGATCAAATTTGTCTTAGAACACTACATAACGTGCGAGTTCCAAAAATCTTCAGGCTGGAAATGTTCGATATTGTCTTCTGAAAGCAAAATAACTTTGACGGTCATATAGAAGCGTCATGAATGCGCTGAAAATTTTCTTCTTTTTGCATACTAGATATCGGAGCACCATATTTGTGAAGATGTTAGTTCCTTTCAGAGACAACTGTAGTGTTTGTATGAACTGCATTATTTCAGGGATTCCTAGTTCGTATAATAATTCAAATACTTCTAATTTTCACAATAACTATAGAGGATCATATTCATGAAGCTTCGGTCTTTTCTGTGTATATGATTGTACCGACCAACATTCAAATATTCGGTCTGAACGCAGAAAACAACTCAACGAAGTCATAATTAGTTTTGATTATCCCAAACCACTGCGTCCTTACGTAAATGTTACGAAACTTCTCTGAGTCATCTTTCTGAAGTTCAAGAGCAGAAAAACAGGTGGTTAGAACATTGTGAAGAACTCTTGAATAAAGTCACTAAGTTCACAGGACATCAAAGCAGTGCATATCATAAGACCATTTTTGTTTGGTTTTGCGAATATTTGCTTCAAAGTCTCCACGTGTTAATTTTCGCGTGAAGATAACTCGTTATCTCTACTTAAGTGTAAAGTTAGAACTTTTTATGTCTTTCGCAAAATCCAGAAATCTCAGCAACACGAATAGACGTGAACCGGAAGAAAGACAGTGACGCACACACTTGTGCATATCAGGAGAAAGGTTGTTATATACTCCAGATTCTGTTTAGCATCGTAAAATACTGTACAAAGCAATGTATACTAGTGGTACTAAATAGATAAATATTGTTCCAAATAGAATAGACTATGGCTGAACTATATTCTCTTCAGCAGTTACAGCAAACGTCACAATAGCAAACTTGTAAGATCAAGTATAAATTGATTTAAATTTAAAAGGTTCCTGTCAACTCTGAAATAGTTTCCCGTCTAAGAAAGTGAAATTACCACTAATGAAATAGCTCCATATGTAGAATCCAACTATCTAAGATAATAAACTTTCCCAATAACTAGGAAATCGAATATCTATCCCAACGGGGATAGACTAATACAATTGGGTCGATCAGAAGGACCGTTGTGGTGGACCAAAAAGTATATTAACCGAAAAACGGCGATAAAGTTATTCCGCCCAAAAGTTAATGTAGCGACAAATAACGCATAGGATAATAACACAAACAAAAGTTTAGGGACGTTACTTAAATCAGCAGGTTGGCGCGTGTCTTGTTGATTTTGGTACCAGAATCACATCCACAAACATGATAGAACGGGAGACGTATGTATAAAAGTATATTTAATTATGAGCACTTAACAATGTCATGCTATGTGGGATTGAAAAACGGAAGGGAGAATATAAGTTTCCAAGGTCATATACTTAAACAACAAGTGCAATCGGTTAATGATAAATGTACAGATTGTGAGAATTGGCAAAATAAATGCAAAAGATATCAAAAACTATTGACAAAATAGGTTTATTAATTCTATCTCCACATAGCTCCCCCCAGAGTGTCCGGAGGTAACACTAGGTTGTTAAACACAAAAGCAAAGAACAATGCAAAAGTGGAGTACATGGCAGAAATACACAATGTGTTGATGTACTCCATCACAACAAAAAGGAATGAAAATATGGTCAGTAGATGGTTAGCTAATAGTAATACAGTACAAAACGGTTAATAACTCTTAAAATGAAGATTGGATTGTTTATTTTTATGTACTGTTAATGAATAATTAACTACAGTTCACCCGTTTATTATATGACAATTTTTCTTATTATTAAAAAAAATTGACAAAACAAGTGGTTGTGAAGAAATGTAATTAATTATATGTACATGTGAAGAAAAGAAATAGGTTTTGTTAGAAAATTGAGTACATTTAACATTGTAATATGTATCATTGAATGTTTATGATTTTATTAGTTTACAAAATGTACATAACGTTTAGGTTTCTTTATATGTCTACCAGAACGTGTTAAACAAGAAGGTGTAGTGCTAAGTTTTTCATCCTCCTCATGTTTCGCAGTAATTGATGGGAGGGATTGTTTATTCGCAATCTTGTCTTCTTTGTCTTGAGAAGCTTCGTGGGAAGCTGGTTTTATTCTGTCTATAGAAATGGTCTCCTTGTTTCCGTTCCTGTTGATAATGGAGTATTTGGTGAACCTCGTATTTATTCTGACTGTTATATTGCTTATTTTTTTACACGACACACTGGTTCATTTTTCATGTAATGTCCTCTCCAACCAAACTTATTGATATGGATCCTCCTCCAGTAACCACCTCTGGTTCAGTGTCAAACCCTACTGAAAACATTTTAAGCCCAGGTAATGCTATCTCTGAATTCAGACTCCCAACATACGGATCTAATAATCCAAGAATTTGGTTTGCGCAAATAGTAACTTTATTCATGGCCAGAGGCATACGCTCACAAGCAAGAAAGTGCGCGCATGTTGTCGGTGCACTCCCCATTGAGATTGCTGCTGATGTTGGGGACTTAATTGACCATGTGCCTGAGTCGGAACCATACGATAAGATAAAAGTAGCGGTAATTCAACGCACTTCAGTCTCAGATGAGAAAAGACTTCAACAATTGTTAACGTCTTGCGACCTGGGAGACAAGAGACCCTTCCAACTCCTTCGACACATGAAACAACTTGTGGGCCCATACAAACTGGATGAAGTCCTCCTAAAACAAGTGTGGTTTCAATGACTACCACATAACGTTAGACAAATCCTTAGTGTCTCGTGGAAATCGGTCGCCCTAGATGATTTAGCCGACAGAGCGGACAAA